TGGACGCAGGCGCTGGTCCGTGATTTTTTCAGGGAAAAGGGGGGGGGGGCAGGGTCATCAGTAAACAAAAATTCCATCTGAGAAACTTGTTGACAAGCTAAAACCTTTATTTTCTTTCCCGAACCTGAAATCTTATTTCGGGGGGGGGGGGGGGGGGTCCTTCCCTTTAATTCAAAAAATTCATAAATATTGTTCTTCCTACCAACTTACTAACTGAACTCTTTAACAGGAGTCCAAGGTCATTTTCATTTTTTAATTACTTTACTCTAGGTTTGTACATAAATAACTCCGCAAATTGCAGCGAAGAGGACTCGACACCTTCCCTGATCCCCTCTAGATCCATGCATGTGGACATGGAGTAAATAAGAAATGGAATTTTCGAGCACGACAATTTTTTAAAAAGCCTACTTGGTTTAACGATGAGTTAAAATTTATTTTTTTAAAAATAGAGATATTAACCAAAGCTAAAGAAGATAACTTGTGCTTTTTTGGAAAAATTACTTTTTTAAAAAAAAAATATATATATATATGTTGGGAAAAAAAGCTTTTTTTTTCGAAATTGAAAATTTCCATTTGCATGCATACTCCTTATTGTTATACAGAGTTGCATGGATAATCATAAAGCTGCATACGATTTCATGTTGTATAAAACATTTAAATTCTGAAGTTTTTATGAATTCTACATTCATCAAACTTGCATAGATATAACCTGTGATGATGCAAAACAGTAATGACAATCCGAGTGCTGCATGTGCCATATACAATCAAGATGAATGACCAGGTGAAAATATCTGGAAGAATCTGTTTTCGAGCTACAAGACAGCTAGCGATGACCAAACGTGATGTTCAAAGAGATACATTAGATCAGTCACGTTTAAGATGTTTCTGCAGGCGCGGATCCAGGAATTTTTTTCCAGGGGGTCCATCCTATAGTCAAAAACAGTTTTCCTTCCCAAAAATTTCTTGACAAGCAAAAAAGCAAAGAAAAGTATTTTTTATTTGCTTCAGTATATAATTTCAATAACTTTGCAAATTCCGGGGGGGGGGGGTCTGGACCCCCCCCCCCTTTCTAGATCCGCGCATGTTTTGATTGTAAGTTACATTAATTTTACAAATGAAGTATTTCATTGTTTAAAGCGTCATGAACTATAGTATTCAAGAAATGGCAAATTTTGCATAATCAAAGTTTGATTCTGCACTACATAAGGAATCTCTCATTAGCCATGTGGAACTTAAAGAGTATCACCCAAAAAGACTGGTATCAAAACTGTCAATCTTGACAGTATTTTCTAGTTCTTTCTGGAATTTATTTGTTAAGAAAAAATATTCTTTTAAGATGTCAGTTAAAGACTGTTTGGAATGGTTGAATTTCCTTTGAACTCCTTTTCAATATTGATCAAATTGACCTATTTTCCTTTGCTATAGCTTAGCAGTATTAAACAAATACAATGTACGAAAGTAGTTCAATAATATTGGGTCCATGACTGTTAGTTCATTGATTTTCTTCATCCATTCAGTTATATCCCCAGAACATCAATATATACTTCTTGAAAAGCTTTGTCCAAATATGTAAAGCCTATTTGTGTGTGTTTGTGTGCAGTTTTTGGAATAGCTGCATGTGTGTTACGTTAACCTTGATGTCATAAATACATTTAATCAATTAACATGATCATTGATTTGATATATCTAACTGAACTCGAAACAAAAACAAAAACAAAAAAAAATCCAGAGTCTGACACACGTTTCATATTTGGATACTTTATGATAAATATGATGACTTCAACTTTTCTTTCATCAACATCTATCATTTATGTAGCAATAAATCATTATCACCTGCATATCTTGTTTATGTCTTCCAGTTGATTCGATACGCAAGAGCATCTATACTTATAAATTAATAAATTTTGCAAATAAACTCCGAAACGGCTGCACCAGAGTTCTTACTTACTCCTCTAAGAATAAACTAGATACAAGTTGATGTCCGTAAACTATATTTAGATTTCACTCGCATAGTAATTAAATTAAAAGTCTACTTTCATTTTCTATAGCCATCCATGAAATAGAAAAAACGTGAGTACGGTGGCGTTTCCGGTTGGCGGATCTAAGTTACTGGCAGTTTTTTATGAAACTGACAACAGGCAATCGTTTATTTATTTCATAAAAGTCATCACTGAATTATTCAATCAAAACTTGATTTAAATGATATAAAAGAAATAAGTTGTGATAACCGATTAAAAAGGGAAATGTGCAAATTATTTTCGTCATCACCGATCTTGATATTGACAGAAGCTTCTAGAACATCATAAAGCATCGAGCCTGATGTTCAAAAGAAAAACGTTGCCTGAACATTAAAAAAGCTTTTGTGTGAATGGTCATTGAAATAATGGTAAATCATTGATAACACTATAAGTTGTGAATATATTTATATATCGAAAGACTATTACATATATGTAGTAGGTTTTCCTAATAAATTTATCGGTAAAATATGTGTATAATCTCACTGAGAGCATCGTGGCAACAAATCCGAAGTACACTTTGTACTTCGTAATAAACTTGCTTACATGAAAAGAGAAAATTAATGAATAAGGTGTTGTTCAAAAACAATTAAAGCTGTAAAATGTTGTGCTTTAATTAATACATTTCAGTTTTTTTCTTCTGAATATACACTCTTTTGTATAAAATACTCGGCCTATTCATAGGGCGTTAAAAGCTAATTTTTATGGGTCTTGGTTTATAAAAATGTATGTACCTTATTCATATGTAAAAAAGTAAAGTACATTTTTACATATCAATAAAGTACATACATATTTATAAACCAAGACAGAAGTACAAGTTAATTTTACCCCCCCCCCCCCAAATCAATTTATCAGTAAAATGCACTGACTACATATTTACTGCTTTATCCTTGACGGAAATGAAATAAGAGCATCAGAGGTACAATATCAATAACATAGTATAACAGATTTCACAATAAACGTCAATTAATGAAATTGTTATTTTTTCGAATTTTTACAAAAAAAGGGGGGATGTTCATCTACTGCATGCGGGATTTTTTTCCTGATATAAGCCTAGCTGTAGGCTGTCAGTAGAAACTACAATATATTTTCTGTCGGTAGTGGTATAAATTCAATTTCCCGCGCTTGCGCGGGATTTCATCTAGTGTTGTATGTTTGAACAATTTAATCGAGGCAGACTACTGAAAAATAAATTAATAATCAAGAGTATCAAGGGAAGATGATACAAACATAAAAAAAAAACGATGCCTGGAGTAGTTTGTAGAAATTTCAATATGAAAATAATGGCGTAGCAATTGATTTTTTAAAAAAAATTAGTTAACATTCGACTTAACAACAGGTAGCATTAAATCAAGATAAGGGGCAGGTGTGGCCGGTCGACAGGTGGTGCTTACCCCTCCATGGCACCTGATCCTACCTCTGATGTTTTCAGGGGTCCGCGTTTGCTCTGCTCTCAATTTATATTGTTTAGTTGGACCTTGAGCATCATTACTGTTCAATCGTATATCTTCACATTTCATCATAAATACTAGTAGTATTTTCTTTAAAAACATCTAAAGTTTCTAGTAGAACTAAAATTTCTAGTTTCTCTTGAAAGAAAGTAAAACATTTCAAAGACCAATAGTCACTCAAACGCCTACTGATACAATATTTTCTTGTACTAAACCACAATATGCAAAATATACATTTTTTCGGGGGATAAACGATACAGATGGGCTTTTAAAACAGATATAATTCCTCTCCAATTCAACATATATGAGCAGATTGCATTAATATACTATTTAGGCTGCTTGTTGCTGCTACCCACCGCATGAAAAGGGGTGAGTGGGTTATATAGCGACGGGGGTGTCCGTCTGTAACACTTGGGTGTAACCATCACTTATCTACCACTCATCTTACACCACTGAATGCAATGAAACTTTCACCAAAACTTCATTACATAGTGGCATTGTGCATCTCCTTTTTCACGTTTCGATCGGACAAATGTATTGAGTTTCCCATAGCAAAACATGGACACTGCCGCTCTTTCTATAATATTGGGATACCCATCTATTATCTGCAAGTCCTCCTATACCACTGAATAAAATTTAGCAAGTCACTCAAAGAATCTTAACTACATAGTGCCATTATTATGCACCTCCTACTTTACGTCTCGATTGGACATATTTTTGGGTTTTCCAATAGCAAAACATGGGCACTGCCATTCTTCCTATAATATCGGGGGTACCCATCTCTTATCCGCAACTCCTCCTATACCACTGAATAAACTTAATTAATGAGACTTTCACAGAATATTTATTACAAAGTGCCATTGTGCACGTCCTATTCTATGTTCTGATCGGAGAGATATTTGGGCTTTCCCAGTGCAAAAAAATGAGTATTTGTCATCATACTCATATGGGAGCGGGGTTTCATGTTAGCTCAGTGTTCACAGTACCTCGAAGTTTATGCTACTTTATAGCAGTTATGGCCAGCTGTGTATCTATGGCTCAAATAAGCACAGCTCAGCCGCTGATTCCATAAGTTATTTAAGGTCAAAACGACACGTTCCTCAATAATATATAATTTTTCCCAAGAATTTGTCAATGAAGAATTGCTACGGTAACAAGTGTCCTCACAAAAATTAAGTACCTTACCAGGTATTTGTGCAAGATACCAGAGGATGGTGTTTCTAATGGAAATCTTTACCGTTCGAGTATTTATTATTTTTTTTTTACATTTTGAAAAAAACTTTAGAAATTCCAAGATATTAATGATAATTATGATTAATTTGTTGTTATTACGAAGAAAAAGGAAACAGATATTTGAGAAACCTGTTAAACCCAAGTACGCAGCGGCCATTAGACTAGCATGTCGTTCATAATCGTAGACTCAGAGGTCCCGTTTTAGTCTTGAGCACTCCCCACCTGATATCAACGTGTAATACCCATACAGGACTCATCCACAACTTGGAAGGATGGCTGTTCAAAAACAAATGTACTCCAATTTCAGAACTGCTGATTTATTGCAATCAACAAGTCAAAATTAACAAGATGTTTCTTTTTTGTAATTATTTAGTTTCCCGCAAGTATAAACTAATATACATTTGTGTGTTTCTTTGTTCTACACTCAGCTGCCTTCAAAAATAATAATAAAGTAAAACAAATAAATTGAATTATACCTATATTATTCTTTGAAAAAAAAATCATACAATCTTATTTTATGTGTACAAGCTTGTATTTTACAGACTATTCAGTTTAGAGGAAAAATGCAGAAATGATATTTTCCATCAATCAGAATGAAATACAGCAGTATATACCTTGATTAAGAAGAAGTTACATGTAATTCAACTTGTTTTTGGGCCAATGAACAATAAAAAAACATACAAAACCCTAACAACTCCAGAATTAATCTCTAAATTACTGCTACTCCCCAATAATTTACAGTAATGTTAGAAGCCTTGTACATGTATGATATTTAATACTGTAAATTTTCTAATATCCTCAGTGTTAAATCAGGGTCACCCAGAAAACTAGCTAGCAAAAACCTCAAACTTTAGAGTCATAAAATAGTCATCTCAGTATGAGAATAAAGCTGACACACACACACAATAACTACACAAAAAGACAATCCTTAACTACAAAGAAACTAAACTGCATACATACACTTGTAACACAATTTACACTGCATCGTGTGTTTAGAAAACTCTTGAGTACTATAGTTAAAACCACCGTTGCATCCCATGGCATGTACTCTATAAGTTGACATTTTTTCATCACAAAACCAGTAAATGCAAAAACAAAACAAAACAAAACAAAAACAAAACAAAAAAATGGACACCATTAACAAATAAAATGCTTGAATTTTGTGAAGTTACAGTATGAGTTAATTGTTTATGATAAGTTATAATGAAATTTTGAAATCCTTGATGATTTGTGACAATGATTTTTTTTTTTAAATCCATGTTAGAGTTATCCCCCTTAAACTGTTTTCACCAGAAGCTTTACAAAACTCAATAGATAATTCACTAGATAGAAAACAAAGAGGTAGACATGAAAAATAATCTTTGAATAGTGTACACTAACATATTTTGCTCATTTTTCTCTGAGGAAATTTGTTTTAATAATGGGTTTTTTTTTCAACATTTTACCCTGATATAGAATAATAGTATCATTTCCTTTCTTATTCAACATCATTGGTGTGTTGCAAACAGAAAATAAATAAAATTTACAAAATAAAATTATTAATTTTTTTTCTTATTTCCTTATACATCCATTCACTTCGTGCAAGATGTGCATGAAGAGGCCTATTTTTTGGTGTGTTGCAAACAGAAAATAAATAAAATCTACAAAATAAAATTAATTTTTTTTTCTTATTTCCTTATACATCCATTCACTTCGTGCAAGATGTGCATGAAGAGGCCTATTTTTTGAGCCAGTTTAAAATTTCCCTTTTCTACTAAAAAAAATATACATTTTAGTTGAAGCTTGCTTTGCAAAAAAATCAATGAAAAATAAATAATATTATTGATCTGTATATTGCTGCAGGAAGAAAACCCACTTATCTTATGGCTAAGTACATTATCAAACATTAACTGGCCAGATCTTTTTCACAATTCTCCCCTCTGCCTAGCATTGATAGAATAGTTTCCATCAATGACATCTATGATATCCTGTGTGATATCATCTACCGATATCCAAGGGCCCCAAGCTCGAACGACTTGTCCTTTCTCGTCTACCAGGTATTTCCAGAAATTCCATGTTGGCTCTTCAGAGTTCTCTGTGCAGAGAAAGGTTCAGTGGTGGTAAGCAAAACTATACATTTGTAATATAATATCTATTGACTAAACAAGATGATTGCTAAAAATAGCTTAAAATCCCTAACATTCTCTACAATGCTGTCATAGGCTTTTTTTTTAAATAGATTTCATTATTTACATTCAAAAACGAAAGATAAACACATGCACAAAAAAAAAAAAAAACAACTCACACAAAACAAACCTGATTTGACATAAGACACATCTCTAATCCATAAATCAAAATTTTCTTTGTTCTTAAATTCTATACCTGTACATCTGTTAGTTTTATATCTCTGTTTCATTCATTTTTTTAGGCAATTTCGTTTGAAATTTATAGGAATGTGTGACATCTTACAAGTATAAAATTATTTTAATTAAGGATGTTATTTACTAGTTATGGTAGATATTTAGATTAGAGATGTTACTTTTGAGTTGGATATATGAATAAGGGATGTTACTTGGAAGTTAGATATTCAAATTAAGGATGTTGCTTACCAATTAAATATTTCCATGCATCAGGAACATCTTCTCCCATCACATTAATTTTGGAAAATATTGGAAAATTGACTTTGTAATTCTTCTTTGCAAAAGACAGGATTTCTTTGTAACTCTGGAAAATCATAAGAACTTTTTTATTTTAAATATTTTCAAAATAATTAATTTTTCAGTATTTCAATACTTCAAATAGAAATGATGTTTTCATTCCAATGAAGTGACAGTCAAAAGACTTCAATACTTCAGCTGATTTTTTGTTTGCTCTTTTTCAATGAAAAGAAGTTTATTACATCATGCTCTCCATTCAAATACATGTATGTAGCACTTTTTCCCAAGAAAGTGAAGTTCTGCACATACAATTTTTCATGCAATAATCAGTTAAGCAAAATGATTCAAAATTACTTTGAACAAAATATTTAATTTGCTGAAACACTGATGGGGGTATGGCAGTTTTGGTGAAGGTTAAAGTTTTTCATATGGAAGTCAAACTCCAAGGTCAAGGTCAAATTTAAAGTGCAAGAAAACCATGCACAGAGCAGGGTTCATTTGATGTGGAAATAGTGTTGAAATTAAATTTCACATGACATTTTTTCTTAGCATTCATGGATTTTTTTTCTGGGTTGTGACTAGTTTGACTTTTGGAGGTGTGTTTCATATTTTGTGTTTACATGTATGTATATGCATGTTAACAAATGAATTCACCATTTGTTTGCTCTTTCACATGTGGATAATTATGTGATGTAAAGCACAGAAACTTGCACACACATTTGTATATACAACAATAAATTATATTACATTGTCAAAGTCCTGGTAATTTATCAGTGACAAAATAACTTGTATCTTAAAAATTAACAGGTGATTAGATTGTAATTACCCCCGGTTCCTGTTTACCAAACTGGTTACATGGAAAGGCTAGGACAGAGAATTTATCGCTTGACCCTAACTTGTCCTGTAATCTGACCAGAGATCTGTAATGACCATCAGTGTAGCCACATTCAGAGGCCACATTCACCACAAGCACCACCTGCAAAAGACAGGTATAGGGTTATCAAGAATTTCTGCAAACATAATGATCATCATAGAGCAGTCAAAATTGTTTCACTGTGATAAGTATTAATCACATGACTTTTTTTGTAACCTTCCGAAAAGCAATTACCCACATCGGAGATGTGAATAATTAAGCAATTGAATGTACAAAATCTTGTTTACATTTGAACACACATACCTCAACTATTCATTAATGCAAAATATGAGAAAGCAGACTTAACAAAATTAATGAGTAGAAGAGGAACAATTCAAATCAAAAATTTTTAAATATTGACCAATTAAGGACCTTCAAGGGGCAAAAAGAAAGTACATTGTAAATACTTATACCTGAATATAATCATATACATGTAATACAGTATATACATACACAAAAGAGAGAAAGAGTTGCATGATCGAAAGGAAAAACAGACATAAAGGGGGGGGGGGGTAAACAGATAGTATATAACCAGTTATATTATTCATTTACACAAGTTCTGAGGAAAATTATTTGTATATATATATATATTCATTATCTATATGCATACATACACTTATAACACACATATATAAGTACATACTTCTATATCTAATATCTAATTCATCATGATACCGTCAAACATAGGAACAAGATAGCGATAAATGCACTGGATTCTGAGGTACCAATGCAACATCAACTAGAACTGTCATTTACCTTTCCTGCATATTGACTCAGTGTGATTTCTTTGTCTCCTTGTTTTACGCTATAACTGTAAAAGCTGTCTAATGAAGCACCAACAATAAAAACCAAAAGAAGCAGCAGATACATTATGGAGATGCTGAAGACGTTGTTGATAACCTTCCACGTGTGACATAGTTATGGTCCTATTTGTGTTTGTAGAAATTGGATACAGCAAGAGAAGCGTCTTGCACACACAGATTGGATATTTCAGGCGCGGATCAAAAGTATCTGCATGCTGATCAGATTTTACCTCCCATTACTGTAATGATGAACATATAAACAAAAAATTCGTTGATCTTAATTTTTATAAATTATGGGTAGTTGAATATCATGTGGAAGAAGCTTTTTTTTCTGCGTGCAGTGTTTGCATGTGTGTGAAAAGGGGGGGGGGTATAGGCCTACATGTACATTCGGATGCGAGAAAAGGGAGGGTTAGTCAAACATGAAGAAAGATGTGAGGAAATATGCAGGAGTTTAGTTTACCTCGAAGTTTTGTCCCTGTAAGTCTTTTAATTCACCGTAAGATGAATAATAAAAGTCATTTGTGATTTTGTTTCCATAAAATATTGTATTGATTGAATATAATTAAAAACTCAAATCCATTTATAATCTTGGTTTGTTTTGCGAATTGTACCCCCCCCCCCTTGAAGAACAGTGACTCTTTAAATCATTACTTGTATTGATGGGGCTTAATTTAGGCCTAAAGTTAAAAAGGACGTTTTGAAACTTACACAAAACATTGCGGGTTTTTAAGGTACATGTTACCTCGTAATTTTTTTTTTTTTTTTTTTTTTTTTTTTTTTTTTTTTTTTGCTTAGCTGGATGGTTTAAACTAGAAATGCAATATATATATATATATATATATATATATATATATATATATATATATATATATATATATATATATATATATATATATATATATATATATATTAATTCTAATCATATACCTAAGAAAGTGTTTGACTTCATGAACTCTTTTTGCGTGAGTTTTATTTTAATTAGCACTGAATGTCGCACTTTAATTTTGCTGAATCGAGAAACATTTTGATGAATAATTCAAGTAGCCGAATTTTTTAGTAAAGGAAAATCTTCTAAAGAGATGAACAACACTAGTGACTACATCAATGGTACAAGGAGAAGCCTTGATACATTAATTCAATGTCAGGCCCACTTATGTTTCCTGAGTATATTGTTAACTGTCACAGGAAATCCTTGTCTTGTTATGCAAAATCATTACAGATAGATTAATTCACTTGTCTACTGATTGAAAAGCTTTAGCAATGACCTACATGTAGCTTTGTCGGCAATCGACGCAACACACAGTACAGCATGCTTTATTCTAATCCCTTGATGTACCTGTAGTTCTATTAATTAATATTCATGTGCTTCGATTGATTTTTACAGTAGCACGCCTTCACATGTGCAAGCTAAACACCTCATACTGAAGAATCTTAATGATTTTTTTAATTCATAACTAATAAATATAGTTCTTTGAATTTCGGCACTCATATACCCCCCCCCCCCAAAAAAAAATAAATAATAGATAAATAAATGAAGCAAAGATAAAATATTAATTTTAAAAAAAGTTAAAATGTCATGTTGATTAATTTCTAGTTGAGACATTATCATTGATATTCACAAGTGCATATATGTTAATAGAGATTTACATATTAAAACGCTTGCCATATGATATATTAGATGTTTTCCTGTGATCTGACTAGTAGCTTTCGGTAATTCCATATGTATTGTAACAGCGAGTGCAGATCGATTTGAAAACCTGACTATGTTACCATAGATATGAATTGTTGGTCCATCATTAAAGTATTGATTTTCACGGTATCGATTTTTGGCATTATAATAACCCTGCATGGGACAGTAAGACTTTTTGAGAGCTGAGAAAGTCTGAAAATGATTTTCTTCCATTTTATATGATTCAGAGAGGAAATGAACCGGAAAATACAGGAATGTCATTAGTATCATTTGTGGAGAATGAAAGTAAACTTCGACGAGCAGGAGTGAGAAGATTTATGGCACCCGTTTAAATTTTGCAATAACCAGCATGTTTGACGAGTAACTTTAGGTCCTTAGAGAATCACATTTAAAAGTTAAGAAAGATGAAGGAAAATGACAAATTATGATGTCTCGAGACCGTCCTTTTATAGTCCTGTGTCCACTTTCAATTGTCCTAAATTGACGTATAGTGCCTACAGATCAAACATGTTAAAAAGATTGCTAGCACCGGAACTGAATCTAAATTGCAGCTTTAAAAGCCGGGTATGTACGGTGTAGTGTAACAATAGTCACGGTTGAGAGATATTCAATAGTCGTGAACTTGTGGATTTAATTTCCAGATCGCTGTGTCCTGAACTCTTTACTGTAGTTGAAGTTTTCATTATATAGTGGATTATAAATCATGTCCAGTGGACATTTGGTGGTTAAATGGAGAAATATACATGAATCTCAAAACCAGGTAAAGTTTGATGTTTTAGATTACTCTATAGATGTTTAATCAATCAGTATAACCTTAGGCATTACACTTATTTACAGCTGATCAGTATATCATAATAGCATACATGTATAACATATATTACAATAATTAAGACTTTTAAGGAGTCTAGAATGGGGGATGAGACTCCTGATCAAATTTTAACATTTTCACAATTATATCCAAGTATCTATCTCTCGCACAGGTAGGGAGATACTGCCTATAAAAATGAGGAATGTCATTCAACGTTTAACATAATTTGAAAGGTAAAAGTGTATGTGGGGTTTTTCACAGTTCAAGTAACTTAACGTGTAAATAATGGAAGTTCAAGATTAATTTAATTTAATCAGTATTTTATTATGTAAAGTCAGTTTACATAATTGGATTGGACATCAGGCATGGCCTATATAAGTCCTCTCCAAGAAGGTCAAGGTTACAAATGTTAAGAATTGACAATAATTTACAATCATGATGAAATAAGTCATAATAAGTTACATTAATTTCTTTTTTTTTTTTTTTTTTTTTTACCAGAAATGGGAAAAAGAGAGAGATAGATTAATAAATTCACAAGAGTTATTACTTAGCATGTATACTCACTATACAATATAATGAAAAAATAAAAGAGTGCAAAGAATAAGTAAACAAATGAAGTGCAAAAGACAAATATACAAGGAAATTAAAAAAAAAAGAAAAAAAAAGCAAAGAAGTTCAAGATCTCTCTCTCTCTCTCTCTCTTTCTCTCTCTCTCTCTCTCTCTCTCTCTCGTTTGGACACCCAGAATTCAAACAATAATGGTAAGACATTGTAAGCTCTTGAACCCATGCATTTAAATCAACTTCCTGATTATTTGTCGATTCATGCCTACAATAAACATAAAGCGTGTAAATATCGAGGCTTCTAAACTCAGACACCTTTAAACTGTTTTATAATGGTTTTACGTGATAAAAAGACTATTAATGGTTTCATTGTAGAACATGTACAATGTATTCTTTTACAAGTTGTTTCGCACCTGGCACGGCATGTTTTTATGATCAACCTCCCCCTTCTATGGTAAGATGGTAGTTAGTTCCCGCATTGTTTTTTAGTTGAATGGTATACCTATAAAATACGATCGATTAAAGTTCGACTTAGGTAGCTACAAAGTTATTTCTGTAAAAGACAAGAGGGGAGATGTAATCTTGAAATGGCTCAAATTATGTAACAACATAGGAAAGTAATTTTTAGATGTTTTATTCATGAAATATGTCAGATAATGTCTTTTTACAGCATGACATTCTCTTATTTTCCAAAAGTAACAACTAAAGCTTAGACCAGAATCGATAGACTCCTCTGTTTCAATATTACATATTGAAATTAAAATAGATGAAAAACTGCTAAAATGTTCAAAACGAAATAAAAGATTAAGGAATTTGTAGAAAATGGCGTTTTTATTGGCATTTGCGGTGATATCAGTAGTATAGTCGAACAAAAATAAGTTGTCAGGTTTTGCTTTCCGGGCTTAACCCTTGAAAAAAATACATATATTTGATAACCATCGATATCTCACTATTTACTAATATATGCTCGTTTTTCCTTACATGAGTTAAGATATATTCTTTTTCCCCCAATTTTTGGATTGGTAAATTATATATAAACCAGCATTTTACAGTCAATTCAATATGCAAATTGGGCTTCCAAATTCCTCATTTTATTCACCATATAGCGTGAAATTTACTCTTTTTTATTGATGGGGGGGGGGGTGTCGCCCGTTTAATCATTCTTGATAAAATGACTTAAAGCATTACAACTTATCAGTATATATGCATCACTGTCATCAGTTACACAATATGATAAATAGAGAAGAACAGCAGTAGGCGATTTACAGGAGAATATTGTGTGAGTAACTGGAAAAAAATAACAAATACATATTATATAATGAACTATAAAATTATCCCTTCGTCTCATACTATAATGAATATAATATAATGAAATAAATAAAAATATCGTTCAAATTCTTAGCATTGAAATGTAGTAATTTTTACGTTGATTTTTTTTTCCTAAAGATTTTTAAAGAATAAATTTACTGCGATATTCTACATATACAAGACAAACCCTTCATCGGCATGAAAGTCAATTCTTACGAGTTTTGTTTGTTTTGTTTTATCTTCCGATTTCAACGGCTACAAGGAGTAAATAATCTTAATTTAGATAATAGGTATTTTAGGAATGACTCTAATTCTTGGCCAAATTATTCGAGTATAACCTGGTTTGGGTCAGTTTACGCTTTATAATCCGCGAAGCGGAATATAAAACAGCGTAAACTGACCCAAAGCAGGTTATAATCAAATAATTTGGCCAAGAATTAGAGTCATTCCTTATAATTTAATCTTAAAATCATTAAATAACTATGAGTGTAAAATTTCGTTGCTTTTTATAAAGATCGAATTATTGTTTGAAGTTAAAGGTACATTTATTAAATCTGGAATTTTCCATGAATCCCGAGGACTGGAAATGAGAGGATGGTATGGATACAGATGATTCAACTGGTTGTCGGGGGGGTGGGGGGTCCCATACCAAATGAGGTTATAAATGCAGAAATAATATGTGTTCCTTTTTGGATATTAACCAGTCAGAGGCTAGAATACAAACAAAATTAAATTATACATTTTTGAAACTTTGCTGGAATTGATTTTCATAAAATTTGCATAAAATATATTTTTTTGAAAATACGAAGAATCTTTAAATGCTCACTCTAAAAAGGAGCTATTTTAAACATTTCTTTTTTAAAACATTAACTTCAAAACACAGTAGAAAAAAAACCCAGTCTTTCCTGTTTTCAATTGTCTCTGCACCCTAATCAAAATAAACAAATTTAATGTTTGTAATAGTTTGTGTCACACTTGACTAAACTGTAATACTAGACAAAAGTTTGTGTCACACCTAACTAATTGTAATACTAGACAAAAGAAGACATGTATTAAGTTTCATCAAATTCAATTTCCATCACCTCTTGCATTACATTCTCATTTAAATAATTTCTCTCTCCAAGTTGTACCTTCAAATAAAGAGAGAATCATTGTGCTTACAGATTAGTAATGCAATATACGAACGTACAAGCTAAGCTTGAACCTTCTTGTACATGCACTAATACACACTGGTTAATGCATCTAAACCAATCAAATTTCAGTATTTAACATAAACGTCTAATAATGAAAAAAAATTTTGGGGACTTTCAGAATAAAGATGTAAATATTGAGTGGATAGATCTATTTCGTTTTCAAGGTAGATTGAGAATTTGTCATTCTCCCTTAGGATAATTTTCAAAGACAACAAAGCACTGATGAACAGAAGTCACTGTTGCTTATATAAGTAAAATGAATACGTTTACCTGCACAGATTTTTTCATTCAACATTTCACTATAATGTCCTAGAAAATGATAAAAAGTTTATAAAGTATAAAGATAACAGCAAAAAGGCTTAATTTTGAACAATTTCTTAATATTTTAGAAATTTGATATTTGAATCAATAACAACCATCAATTCAGACATCCTTTATTTATTTGTTTTTTTAATTTATTTATTTATTCAATTAATTAATTTATTTATTTATATTTATTTATTTATTTTGATTTGTATCATCTGTTGTTAAATAGGGAAAACACATGAAATTAATAATTCAGTTGGTCTTACATAGTGTTAAGAATATTTAAATTAATTACAAACTGTGTTTTTAATAAATTGAATACAAAATTCACGTGGATGTGTATACAAAAACAAAAATATTCATTCTCTAAAAAAAATTTGATTTAGATATCACATCTGATGATATGTTAGTACTTATGTTTAGGGAAATGTATTTTTCATTATATATATATTTCATAGGTCTGTTTTTTGCAATACGCTCTTTTTAATTTTGCAGAATCAATTCACATGTTGAAGAGAATACCCAAAGAAATTGAAGAGACACACGATGAAAAAATTCAGATGCACGAGGATACTATTGGGCAACTCGCTACGAAACTTTCTCATTATGTTGGCTCTGTGTCTGTCCGTGCTGAATATGATGAACTGGATATATTACAACTATTCCGAGGCACTTGTTGAAACCTATAACAAATATTCACCATCGTCCTCTATGGTTCAAATTGCTCGTTCTCAGTTCACTCTGTCCACTTCAAAAGTTGTGGCGGCGAACAAGAAGAAATCGCCTGTAGTAAACCAGAAGATTAAAAGACGTTATCCAATTTTTGATCCGAGTGCTAGCTATGCGGAGAATGGGGTGCATATGGAAGTTGGACCTCCACTTGACACTAAAGATATCAGGAAAAAGAAACTAAATTTTGATCCTAAAAAGTATCCATTAGAGATAGATCTTGTTCAACTGACAAAAAATATTTTTGAAGGGAAGAAAATAAAAAACAATCAAATAAATCCTCATCCTTATCAATTTGTACATGAGGCTGAAAATGCTTGTCAAATTGAAAATTTACATGTGGTTGTTCTTGTGAAATCTAAAGCAAGTAATTTTAAAAGTCGCGAAATCATCCGACAGACTTGGGGGAATCAGTCCCTTTACAATGGCGTGTCCGTAGTCTTTCTGCTTGGAAAAATGAAAGAATTTGAGAATGATATTGCCCATGAGGCTCAGAAATACAAGGATATAGTACAAGAAAACTTTGTCGATCAGTATTCCAATAATACATTGAAAACAATCATGGGTTACAATTGGGTCGTCAGACATTGTTCAAACGCAAACTTCAACCTTTTTGTAGATGACGATGTGTTTGTTGTGGTTAAAAACTTAGACAACTACCGTCAGACTAAAGAAAAAGAACCTCGACTTATGGCAGGAAAATTACTGCCACATTCTACACCATTCAGAGACAACGGTTCCAAGTGGTTTGTATCTTGGGAAGACTATCCGTTTGATAAATATCCGCCATATTTAGCTGGTGGTGGTATTCTAATGTCTTGGGATGTGACTAGAGCATTTGCAGCCGCCTTTCCATATGTGAAAACAATTTCAATTGACGATTCATATTTGGGAATTATAGCGAAAAAGCTCAACATATCTCCACGTAATCACGGCGGAATGGTTATCAGGAACCCTGGCCGGGACACCAAGGCAGCCATGTCTATGAATTTTGCAACAGTTGTAGCCTTTCATCGCATTCCTTCTCCAGAATCCATGATGGCTACATGGAATCAATATATAGCTAAATATCCCATTCATTCAAAGCCGAAGAGGTAACGGGAAGAATGAGTTAGATTAATTTATTGACGATGATTCCTTGTTGGTATTGTTTATGTATCTCTCACAATTCATTCAGTCTTTCTGTGCGAAGAAAAAGAATACCATGAACATGCATCGAAAATTTGAATTTGTATTTATTCAAAATAGTGGATTTCGCCGTCAATATAGTAATCCTTGTTCTCATAACTTTCTGTTAATGAAAGGGACTACACATAGATATAAATATATCTGTTCTATAGGAGAAATAAGAATATAGGTAGTAATAATTATTCTGTGATATGCGTGTATCTATTGTGAATTATGTGATATGCGTGTATATATTGTGGATTATGTGATATGCGTGTGTATATGCGTGTATCTATTGTGAGTTTTGTGTTCCTGACACTTCTGTTGGATTCTGATAATTTTGCATTACTAGCATTTTTCAGATTTTGTCAATTGCTCAGTGTTATATCTCTTGAATACTCGATTTTGAAAACAATATATGCTAGAACTCTTAGATTTCCAAGTGCATAATGCTCTTACCACTGGTAAATGGTTTTGTCCATTGGTAGATAATTTATTATGTCCAGTTTTAATTTATCAGTAATTTTTAAATATTGTTTGCTATCACGTGATTTTGTGTACTCATAGTATAAGGATGTGGTAAATGTTTAATTTGAAATGTGAAGAATGAAATGATATTTAAAAATGATCTCATTTTATGTTCATTATTATCATCAATATTTCCATTTCAGCCATGAAATTACAATTATATGTATAGTAATAAGAAATTAACACTCGTAGTTAATGCTTGATTGAATATAACTTTTATAATAACATTTTGTTTAAGATTATGATGTGTGAATTTATGTGGAACATTTCCGGCCTTCACATTTTTTTTGAGGTTATTATTTATAAGTATATGTATTTTAAAGAACGTTCATGTTTATTTGAAATTAAATGTACAGCCACTGTATAATATTGTCAAAATGGTATACATGTACATGTATTTGTATGATATGTACGGGTTCTAAATCAGCATGATATACTATGAAAGAATACTTTCATGAACCAAAATTTTACACTTATCATAATGGAAATAAGTGTCTTGGGTCCATTTTACAGACAATATTTTTGGTGTAGGATTTTATACTTTTGCATTTGCTCATGTTCTCGCAAAATTGGTGTTGGAAGTGCAATTACTAATTTTTTAATATTGCCCTAGCTTCTAGTTGTAGTTTCCCACTAAGATAAAGAAAAAATATTGAAAATTTTCAAACTAGTAATTTAAACATGTAAGCTTATTTAGGTTCTTAATTTGTAAATTCGGAGATATTCAATAAGATTCAAGTAACTCATGTTATTGCACATGGCCCTTGATGGAAAAAAAAACTTCCCTGAATAATCAGATTTTTAATCACAGACGCCCTCATTATTTTAAGCGGTTAAGGATTGAAGGAAGTAACTTTATGGGATACATAAAGTGTGTTGCAAACTAATTGTTATCTTTACTCGAATCTATAGCAATATATCTGTCGCAAGAATGAGTTGCCTCGAACTTCTTCCAATAGTTTTCACGCAGGAAAGCGATAGATTTTACGGTAAATTTTCAACCACCTACATTGATATATGTAAATTTAAAACTGAATTTTTTCAAATACCTGTAACAATTTACCATTTCAACTATAATCCCAGTAATTCTATAAAACCTGTCCCGTTTAATCGAATCATTCTTATTGTATGTATAGAGAAAAAGAGATAATAATCAATTTTTCTTACGGGAAAGCTACATTTCTGCACATAATCTTATATATTAAATATATTGCTGAAGTTTTATACCCGTCTTTATTCTTAGATCCTATATACTGTTTGTGACTGGTTGTGAGCTCACAAAATGATACCCCCCTTCCACTCCCATATGAGTATAACGGCAAAGTACATTTCGTTGCTATGGGAAAGCCCAAATATCTGTTCAATCAAACTTGAACTTCAAATGAGTTAACAGTTTATCATAAAATATGCAAAAAGAAAATAGATTATTAAAAATCTTCCTTTATTCATTTGAACCTTTCCTGGATTTTTCTCGATATTGGATCACATATTGAACAAATTTTTTGGAAATTAAGGTTCATTTCAAATTAAAGTCAAATATTTTAATTTGTTAAACAGATGTTCGTTAATCATTTAAGAGAAATCCCGCGAGTTGTGAAAGGAACATCCTGATTTGTAATGACGCAATATTGGACAGCTCACATAAATTCTTCGTCATTTCTTTTTTCAAATTCACCTTTGCGAAACTTTTGTTTTTGCATGAGTTAAGGGAAATGAATATAATTTTATTAATATACTCTTGTCATGAAATGTCACATTTGTATGGATTTTCCTCTATTACTTAATACATATTAACATTATTTTTGTAAATGTTTTGAGTATAATGTTCATATTGAAATGTTTATTGTTTTTATACAATAATTTATAATTCATTAAAAAAAAACCCGGATTCAATGTTATTATTGGCAATATACTTAACGAGGTTGGATCCTGATATTTAAAGTCTTAAAATTTTTGTCAAGTATATTTTTAGTTTCTACACACATAGCTAAATTAAAAATCAAAACAAGAAATGGGGGGTCAATATGCTTCTTTTGGCGCTACAGTACATTCAATATGACCTTTTTGCACTGAAATTTGTGTCTTAATCAAAAATCACATCTTCGACATTTTCCCTACAATGTTTTTATCCAAATAAATCATGGGACAAAATAAACTATTATCTATTTTAAAAAAGACACATTAAAATTGAGACTAAGAAAGAATTTCAAATTTCTTCGCATAATCAATTATTTGACCTTTCTGCACTCACAACATGTGATTTTTCTGGAATTAAAAATTTAACATGCAAAAAAAAATATTCTAAAGTCTTAAACTTTTGCTGAATTTAAGCAGATTGATCAAAGTTATCTTATATATTCAGAAAAGAAAATCAAAAGTGGGGGTCTATGATGTAAATTTTTAGATATTGCTAAAAAAGTGTCAATTTTATGTTAAAATTGGCTCAATTTTTATCTGGACTTTCAGAATATATTTACTATATTTGTCACTATATGATTAAAGAATTCATAAGAAATAATTTAATAGATATTTCAGAACCAGCATAAAACATTTCACTGCAAAAAAAAAAAAAACAGCTATGTGTGCAACCAGCATGGGAAAATAGGAATCTAAAATTAACAGTACTGTAAAAGGGAAAAACTGATCATTTTCTTCTAAAAACCTTCCGCCACAAAATATAGTTCCTGGCTTAATCCTACTTGAATGGAATTTAATCGCGGTTTTTTCATTGGATATAGTTAATTTGCATTGTAGAATCAAGATTTAATGTTAGAACTTAAAAATGATGCAGAATTTTAGAAATAAAGGTCCAGACCAAAATCTGCTCAAAAGCTCAGAATCGAACCTCCTTAACATTATACGAGTTATTATTTAGTAAATTATAAATTGTACATGTATTTGACTATTTGTAAATGTAGTGATAATGTATTAACTAAGATTGTTAAAGCTACAATGAATGATTCAAACTTCCCACTTTTATGAGTTCAAAGAAGAAAAAAAACTTCATTTATTCCAATTCAAGTGACATAATTTTATTAATGAGTGCTATAGATAAGTGTATTAAACGTTATAAATATTAATAAATTGTGTATATTGCAAAAACTCATGACATCACGAAAGGATGTAAATTTCTTAATAGAGGGCATAGTATGCCGAGATTATCAATTTAAAAAAACATAACTTTTCTGTTTTATTCTGCGAGAAGACAGGTATTTTGAGAGATAGGGAAAATACTTTTCGCAATTTTTTTTCTTCTCGATGATCAATTTATTGTAGTGCATGTTAATCATGATGTATCTTTTTATGATACATGGTATTATTTATCAATGACTTGCATATAGGACTTAAGGGGGCGCTAATCCTCTGACCTCCCTCCCCATCCCCAATGTTTCTCTTGGCACAGTTTTTGATGAATCAAATAAAAGTTGGTATAAAATTAGACCACATTCAGATACGTAATTCATTTATCGATTTTAAATTTCGTAGAAAAACATTGATAGTTTATACTATAGATTGTATCGAATACTTTAAATTGCCACGTCGACGACAGTTCAAGTCTGATCTGAAAAAAAACCTGGTACGGTACAAATTTAAATCCATTAAGATACATAATTCTAAATTTCAATTTAGATATGCGGTAAAGATGTTAATGAAATATTATGTCTAAACAATTTTACATTCAAACTTGTAAAGCTACAGTCTCGTCAGGGACTTTTGGTTAGTCAAAATGTGCTATCTCTGTAGCAGTTATTATTTCCAAGAGGTTCAGTCTATTGCCTTCATGAAAAGGCATATTGCTTTTATCATTATTCATCCATTTTACGCCATTTCCTGGTTAAAAAATAATAGGTGGGGTTGAATCTACCACTGCTCGTAATACAAGTCATAGTGATCATAATTATAACATGGATAATTTCTTCAGTCAATACAACCTTATGCAATACAACCCATCAGCAGATCTACATGTACTAGTATTAACATATATGTCATATATTACAGAAATAGAAACTCTGAAGGAGTCCATATTGGGGGGGGGGGGTGAAACCTCTGATCAAGTGTTCCATATTTTCAAGTCAAAGACTCCACCTTGTATTTCCTACAAATATACATCGACTATTGCTTCCAAACTTTTTAATTACAAGAAAACTTTACAGGGCCTGGATATCGAATAACTGAAGCATAATCCTCCATCGTGTTCATGTTCTTCTTCGCCCTATAACTATAGTCCTGCTGGACACGTTATTACTGGTGACGTAAATATAGTTAATAATGAGGACCTTAGATCACTAATTCTAAAAGGTCCTAAATTTAGGGAACCCAGACCCTTCAACTGGCGTCGGAATTTCATAAATATTATGGATTCTGTAGAGGACTACGCCAGGCGATGGACCAGACATGAAAAAGAAGACCTTGACACTTTGTCAGAATGGATTAAATGTATCAGATGTATGTTAAAATCGCGCATTAAAAGATTGAGAGGCAATATGAAAACCATATATCCTTCTGTATTCAATAATACAGAAGTGAAAAAAGAATTAGATAGATTACATGATCAGTACGTACTGGTCCCTGCTGACATAGCAGGTAACAACATTGTCTTTGTTTGTAAGGCTCATTATATTAAATGTATTTTAGAGGAACTTGGATTTAATTCTACAAGTGGTAATCCAACTTATACTCATAGTTCCCTTTCTAAGGAAGAAATTCTTCAAAATCATATGTCAGTTTTGAATATTTTTAATATTCCAAACAACCAAAATGAATTTGAATTACCATATTTATATTGGATTCCGAAACTTCATAAAAATCCTTACAAACAAAGATACATAGCGGGTTCCAGTAAATGTTCAACCAAGCCTCTATCTTTACTCCTCACTAAGATATTAACAGTGGTGAAAGAGAAACTTCAAGAGTACTGTGCAACAATATATTCGAGAAGTGGTGTAAATCAGATGTGGATACTTAAAAATTCCAAGGAACTTTTGGAAAATTTGAAATCACAAGATTTTACCAAAATCAACAGCTTAAAAACTTACGACTTTTCAACTTTGTACA